CCCGGTTCCCTGAAGCCATCCCATTGCGAATGGCCATGGCACCTATGATTGCCACTGAGCTAGTTAAAGTCTTCACCAGGGTGGGGATACCACAGGAAATCCTGACTGATCAAAGTACCAACCTGATGTCCTGTCTGATGGCCGAACTCTGCCACTTACTCAACATCTGGGCTCTCATGTTGTCAATGTACCACCCTCAGACAGATGGGCTGGTAGAGCGTTTCAATCAGGCGTTGAAAATGATGTTGCGTAAGTTTCTGGAAGAGGACCCCCAGCACTGGAACACATTACTTCCAGCCCTGCTGCTCTCTGTATGGGAGGTACCCTAGGCATCAACCGGCTTCTCCCCTTTGAACTCCTCTACGGGCAACAACCCAAGGACATCCTCGACCTCGTTTGGGAGGATTGGGAAGAGCAAGCAACCCGGGTCACAGGGGTGATCCACTACGTGTTGCAACTGTGGGAATGGCTCCATACTCTGGGGACTTTTGCCCAGAAGAATCTGTTACAGGCTCAGCACGTACAAGAACAGCACTACAACAAGGGGGCCAGACTCTGCACATTTGAGCCAGGAGATGACGTCCTGCTCTTATTATTCTCCACAGACTCCAAACTGATGGCCAAGTGGCAGGGACCCTATGAGGTCACCTGACTGGTGGGACCAGTGGACTATGAGATCCGGCTACCGGGGAGATGGAAAGAGATACACATATACCATGTTAACCTGCTGAAGGCGTGGAAGGCCAGGGAAGACCATTACCCCTTTCCCTCTGTAGCCCGAACTGGGACTGCTGGTCGACAGAACCCTAGCGTCTGGGCCGGCCATGATGGGTGCCGAGCTGAGCCCTGAGCAGCGGGGACAACTGCAGCGGGTCTTGCAGGCCTTTCCAGAAGCCTTATCCGCCCACCCTGGGCGGACGGAAGTCATGCACCAGCATATAGCTACTATACCAGGCCAAAAGGTCTGTGAGGCCCACTGACCCCTCCTGATGTGGGAGGCCATCAGGAGGGAACTAGACACCATGCTGGAGCTGGGGGTAGTGGAAGAATCAAGGAGTGAATGGTGTAGCCTGATTGTCCTAGATGGGACCACCTGCTGTTATATCAACTTTAGGAAAGTCAACACCATCTCCTGCTTTGATGCATTCCCCAGGTGGAGAAGCTCTTGGAGAGGCAAGGAGGAGTTGTGTTCTTCTCCAGGCTTGATTTGACAAAAGGGTATTGGCAAATACCCCTTATGTCAAACTCGAGGGTGAAGACAGCTTTCCCTACTCCATTTTGCCTATTTCATTTTGTGAGAATGCCTTTTGGACTGCACGGTGCTGCTGCCACCTTCTAATGAACTCCATCCTGCAGCCCCACGACCAGTACGCTGTGGCATATATTGATGACATCATTATATATAACGCCAACTGGGAGACCATCTCTGACATGTCGCCAATGTACTAGGAGCCCTAAAAGAGTCCGGACTCATGGCAAAACCAGCCAAATGTCACCTTGGTCAATGGGAGGTGACCTATCTAGGGTACATAGTGGGTGGGGGCAAGCTGCGGCCCCTAGTGGATAAGGTTCAAGCCCTAAAAGAATGGTTTGCCTGCACGACAAAGAAGCAAGTGAGGCAGTTTCTAGGACTGGTGGGGTACTACCGCTGATTCGTACCCGATTTCAGAACACTGGCAGCCCCTCTCTCGGACCTGACAAAGAACTCGCAACCACAGACAGTCCGGTGGTCTGAGAGATGCGAGGTGGCCTTCCAGATGCTGAAGGAACAGCTAGCTCAGGGGCCAGTTTTAACACACCCAGACTTTATGAGGTCCTTCATCCTACAGACAGATGCCTCACAAACGGAGCTCAGGGCAGTCCTCTCCCAGCAAGTCAATGGCGAAGAACACCCGGTCCGATATCTAAGCCGGAAACTGTACCCCAGGAAGACCCGATATTTGACCATCAAGAAAGAGGTGCTAGCCGTGAAGTGGGCAGTGGAGGCCCTGCGTTATTACTTACTGGGAACCCTTTCCAACTAATTACTGACCATGCATCCCTTCACTGGCTTAATAGCATGAAAGATCATGTGTTGGCACCTCTCCCTGCAGCCGTACGATGTCCAGGTCTTCCATCAACCGGGTAAGGCACATGCCAACACAGATTTATTTTCGAGGTGGGATAGAGAGGAGGACAAGGAAGGACACCAGATAGGTGCCCTCTTCAGGGGGAGAGTGTGTGACAGGGTGGACTAGCCCCACACTGGAGCAGAAGGGGTTAAAGCAGCGCTCTCAGCAGCTGAAGCCATGCCCCATCAACCCTGCTGGGCATGCTCCAACTGCTGCTGCAGTGTAAAAGGAGCAACATAGCTCAGTCTGGGCTCTCTGCCGAGGAGGAAGGACGCTTGGTAGGGGCTCCAGCCCAGGAGCCGTTACAGCCATTACCTACGGGAGGCGAAGAGCCCGAGACCTGCCGCTATCGGAACCCCAGGGAGCGTCCAGCACTGAGGTGCCTGGAGGCCCTGATACCCTATGGACCCTGCGGCAGGAAAGCCGGTAGGAAGTGACCCAGGGAGGTTGAGGGAGTGGAACCTCCCACCCTCATGAGGTCAGTGTGTTTCAGTGGAATTCCCCGCTGACCCAGTGGCGGACCACTCCAACGCTGTTAGGGCCCTGGGTTGAGGCCCAGTGGGGTCGGCTGGCCCTGAGCCCTACTACTGGGGCTGCCACCTCCGTGGTGATGGCCCCCAGGCACCAGCCACTAGACCACCCTACCCTACCTCCGAGGGTGGATGTATTGACTCTAGCCACTAGACCACCCTACCCTGCCTCCAAGGGTGATTGACTCCGGCCACTAGGCAACACTACCCTATAGTCAAGGGTGGTTGTATTGACTCTGGTCATTGGGCCACACTCCCTTGCAGTTAAGGGGAGTGCTACTGACTCCGGCCTTTGGGCCATGCTTTCCTGCAGACAAAGGAAGCCCTCTTGACTCCGGAAATTGGGCCACACTCCCCTGCAGACAAGGGAAGTCCGCTTGACTACAGAAATTGGGCCACACTCCCCTGCAGTTAAGGGGAGTCCTACTGACTCCGGCCATTGAACTACACAGCCCAGTGGCTAAGCGCAACCGTATTGACTTAACCATGTGGCCCCGCAACACCATCCCTTTATTAAAATTTATTATCTGTCATGCCTCTTGTGATCATCAGATCAGGGATTACTTTTTGTTTCATTGTATAATCCAATGTCCCTCTGCATAGAGGTGAATTTGACCCTCAAATAGTGAATTTAGGATTTTTATTCTGTAAACCTGATCTTAAATACTACCTCAGGAGATAATCTGGGAAGTCACACTGTTTGCTTCTAATATAAAAGCAACTAGTTTGAAAGAGCAAAAATCTAGTAATACAACTCTCAGATACTTAGTGCATCAGATTCCATTTCCCCATTGACAGATCTCAATGGAAAACAAAAAAGCATTAAAATCTGATAGGATCACCTATAGGAGGCTGGCAATCTGAATGTAGATTGCTGACAGTAGATGCTCCAAGGTTAGTGTACTGTATCTGTAACAATATATTGCATGTTCAGCATGGTGGCATCTGAGATTTTGTTATGAGTTCTGCCAGACTGTATTTTACATCAGCTGTTCACTCAACCAAGCAGAACGTTGGATTGTGTCATCATCTAATTGACTGGAACATTGCAAAAGAAGCAGACAACAGACATGGTGGTGTGGCATCACCATATTCAACATAAAAATCTAAGGTCAAGATTCTGACCTCAGCTACACTGGTGTTAATCCAAAAAAACTCCATTAATGTCAATGGAGTTACTGGAGACTCTGTTGGTTTCAATGGCATTAGTCTGGATTTACATCAGCAGTAAGCTCAGAATCTGTCCTAGAGGGTTTGGTTTTGCATTTCACAGTAGTTTTGCACCAGAAAAACTCCTTTGTCTAATTTAAAATCGGGTAAGAGAGGTCAGAATTAGGACTGTTTCTGATTAGTCATTGCTTTAAAACACTGAAGATACCATAAAGAGTGTGGGAAAATATATAAAAGTTATTGCCACTCAGTAAGTGACAGAAGACAAGTGAAATTTCCTCTGATGTTCACAAAATGTTTGCAGTGTTGTTGTAGCTGTGTTGGTCCCAGGATATTAGAGGGACTAACTGGGTGAGGTAATATCTTCTATTGCATCAACTCCTGTTGGCAAAAGAGACAAGCTTTTGAGTTGACCTGGAGCTTAGAGAGGTTATGCATTGAGGGGCAAATCCTGCTCACATCTCTCCCCCCACTCCATCTCTGGGTGCACAGAGCCCGTAGCAGGAAAAGAGTTCTGCAGCATAAAGCAGGAAAGGGCTTGGGAATGGCCATGCGAGGTCATCTTCTGTTTAGTGCAGAACCCAGCTATGCAGGGGGCTCCGTGTGTAGCAGTGCATGGGAGTGGGGGTGGCCCAGATGAGGAGCAGGGACCATAGCCAGCATCATTCCAGCACTTAATCAAGATACTCAACCAGGCATTGGTGGGTACATTTGCTTCTGAGGGCCTGATCCTGGGATTTCAATGGGACCTGAAGGTGCCCAACTCTGAGTTGAGAAGAGGCATTTCAAGGAATAGAATTATACCCTGTTAACTAACATGTCAATCTCAAGTGGAATGGAGTTTCCCCAGGGAATGATTTATGCATTCAACTGCTTGTCCTCTGTCTCTGTTGGCTCAATGACCATCGCCACTTTGGCATTCAGGTTCCTTGGTCTAAAATGCTAATAGAGTCATTGTCCATTTCAGAGTTCACAATGAAGCTGATGCCAAACCTCCTCCTTTGCTTGCTGCTGCTGGTGCAACTGTATCACACTGAAACAACAGATGAAGAACCACAGCCACCTAAAGGGCCTTGTGCAAATTGGATGGGAGGAGCACCAGGTTACCCAGGCCACAACGGCGTCCCAGGCAGAGATGGAAAGGATGGGAAAGACGGGCAAAAGGGAGAGAACGGAGAGCCAGGTCTGCGTGAGGCTTTAATATTCTATACCATTTCAATCAAACATGACCTGACTTCTGAGGGAAGGAAGCCTCAGTAGGGACAGGATTCAAAGTTCATGGAGGTCAATAGAAAGATTTCCACTGACTTCCACGGGCTTTGAATCAGGCCTAAAGTTCTCAGAGCTAATGTATCATTCCATATTTAGCAAATGAGAGCACAAGGCACAGAATGTGTATATAGAAGAGGGGACAAATATATTCTTTGGATGGAAAGTTCTGAAATGTGAGGAGCCAGGTAACAGTTTAGAGGAAAGAATTTCCCTGGCTTCTTCCCTATAAACAAACCACTGATTCTCTGTCTATGTAATTACCTGCTCCTGTTAGTGTCAGAGTTGTAAATGAATGTTTAAGGATCTGATTGTTTTTATTTCAATGCAGTGTATAGTTATTTTGCAATACAGAGAAAGCTAGTCAAATTTGCCAATGTTTGTTTGTATTTGAAGTCACTGTATGTTATTCAGCGGCATCAGCTATAGACATTGCCAGCATTTCCATTTTCAGCAACTATTTTATGTCATTTATAAAATCTAGCTCTCACCTGAAATTTGGCTTAGAAGGTCTCTTCCCAAACAGCTGAGAAATTTTTGGGGTTATCATTGGTTAACTTTTTGGTTAGCTTTGGTTTTTTAGGTGAAAAACTGCAGTTTATGCTTTTGAGGATTCTAGAAATAAAATGAAAAAAATGACAATTATTTCAATTACCATGCATGTGCATTAACATTTCTAACAGCTATCACTAATTCAAAACTTCAGATTGATATCTGCTTACAAAATAAACTGGGAAAAATCAGAACTATTGGAAATCTCCTGGTTGGCAGCTAATGGGGCTTTCTCTCAATGGAATTTCCAAAGGCAAATTGATGCTTGTGAGTACCTAGGTATAAAAGTACCAAGAAATATTAACAAACTAGTGAAAATAATTTTAGATTCTGTACTCTTCCAAATAGTTAGTAATACAAATAGGGGCCATCATCCGTCCCTCAGGCTGTGGGGAAGGGTTCACACAATAAAAATGTATATTCTGCCTAAACTCCTCTATAGTTAAAGGGTATGTCTATACTGTCTGGGCTCTAGGACCCTGCAGAGCCCAGAAGACTACACCGCAATGAAACAGCTCCAAAGCCGAAGCCCTGCAAGCCCGAGTCAGCTGGCATGGGCCAGCCGCAGGTGTCTAATTGCAGACGACATACCCTAAGTGGCATACCTGTATATATCCCTCTGGCTTATCTCTATATATCTGTCCAACTTATTTTAGAAAATTTAATAGCATTATTAGAACCTTCCTGTGAGGCTCTGATCAGAGACCATGACTACCATCTCCAATTCCTTAAAGCCAACAGGGTTGGGTCCCCCAGACCTACAAAATGAATATTATGCTTTTATCATAGAAAATGGGGAAGAAAATGGCAGATGAAATTCAATGTTGATTAAATGCAAAGTAATGCACAGTGGAAAACATCATCCCAACTATCCATACAAAATGGAGTCTAAATTAGCTGTTACCACTTGAGAAAGAGATCTTGGAATCATCACGGATAGTTCTCTGAAAAATGTGCTCAATGTGCACCAGCAGTCAAAAAAGCTAACAGAATGTTAGGGATCATTAGGAAAGCGATAGGTAATAAAACAGAAAATATCATAATGCCACTTTATAAATCCACGGGACGCCCACACCTTGAATATTGTGTGCAGTTCTGGTCACCACATCTCAAAAAAGATAAGAGAATAGGAAAAAGTACAGAGAAGGTCAAAAAAAAAAGAGAGAAGACTGTTCAGCTTCGAAAAGAGACGACTGAGGGGGGATATGATAGAGATCTATAAAATCATGAATGGTGCAGAGAAAGTAAATAAGGAAGTGTTATTTACCTATTCACATAACACACAAACCAGGGGTCACTCAATGAAATAAAATAAGCAGCAGGTTTAAAACAAAAGGAAGTGCTTCATTACATAATGTACAGTCAACCTGTGGAACACATTGCCATGGGATGTTGTGAAAGCCAGAAATATAACTAGGTTCAAAAAAGAATTACATAATTTCATGGAGGATAGGTCCATCAATGGCTATTAGCCAGGAGGGTGAGGGACACAACCCCATGCTCTGGATGTCTCGAAACCTCTAACTTCCGGAAGCTGGGACTGGCTGATAGGAAATGTATCACTTGATAAATTGCCCAGTTCTGTTACTTTCCTCTGAAACACCTGGCATGGGCCATGGTCAGAAGACAGGATACTGAGCTAGATGAACCATTGGACTGACCGAGTATGGCCACTCTGATGTTCTTATCATGTCACAGATGCCAAAATGGTTCAGCATGCCAACACCCTTATACTCACATGGGTGGAAACTGAGCAGGTGTTAATGCATCTAATTTCCCCACAGGTCTCCTCTTTTTGTCCAATGGAAAAAAAATAAGGTGCCAACAGCAGTGGTTCCCAAACTTGTTCTGCCGCTTGTGCAGGGAGAGCCCCTGGCGGACCGGGCTGGTTTGTGTACCTGCCGTGTCCGCAGGTCAGGCCGATTGCGGCTCCCAGTGGCAGCGGTTCGCTGCTCCAGGCCAATGGGAGCTGCTGGAAGTGGTGGCCAGTACGTCCCTCGGCCCGCGCCGCTTCCAGCAGCTCCCATTGGCCTGGAGCAGCGAACCGTGGCCACTGGGAGCCGCGATCGGCCGAACCTACGGACGCGGCAGGTACACAAACTGGCCCGGCCTGCCAGGGGCTTTCCCTGCACAAGCAGCGGAACAAGTTTGGGAACCACTGGCCTACAGTGATGGCTGCGTGAAGGGTCAGGGCTATCCTAGCTAAGAGGTTCCAATTTGCCATCATGCAAAAGCACCCACTTGGGACAACCCAGACATGCAAATTGGGAACAAACCTACAATTTGGAAGTACTAGCTGAGGAGGGGCATTGTATGGATTTCCAAATTAGTCAGCTATGAGGGCTTTGTCCCTTTTCTAACACTAAAACAAAGTTATGATCTGCCAACCTCAGCGGAGTGGCAGTACTTTCAGTTCAGACATTTGCTAACGTATCAATTTGGTCCAGATGACCTAGGACTGCCTGAGGCCCAGAGGTACTGGGAACCTTTAAAATGCTCCAAAAACTCCCCAGGCCCATGTCCATTATGCATACTTTGTTAATGAAGAGGAACTTGATTAGTCTGAAGTTCTTTGAGGAAGTGTGGGAAGGGGATTTATCACTGCCCTTAAAAGAACCCCAATGGCAGAGCATATTACAAAAAATTAAAAATGCTTCGGTGGATTGCAGGCTGCCCTTGCTGCAACAAAATACAGGTTGCAAAAGGCCGTGTCCTCTGATGTTTGTGGGTGCTGTAACAAAGAAAAAGGAACTCTGATGCATATGCAATGGGACTGTCCAAAAGTCAAGCAGCTGTGGAAAGAGGAAGCCACAAGAGTTAAAATAATGCTCAGCTTCAGCTGAAAATGATATCCTTGGTTATTTATCTGCTAAGCTGGGTTTAACTGTGCCATAAAGTCATTGGGTTTTGAGGGCAGCAGTGATCATCAAGTGCATGATTTTTCAAAAATGGAAGAATAGTCTTTTGCCCAACATAAAGCAGTGGTGTTTGAACCTGTCTGAGTTAGCAGCCAAAGAAAGAATAGCTTTTGGCCGTAGAGAGCAATTATATTGATTTGAAAAAATGTGGACCTCCCCCCCACCTTTTTGGATAAAAATGTTGAGATGACTCAAAGAATGGCAGATTTTCATTCCACCTAACCCCTCCTCTCCTGTGCACCCTGCCCTCGTCCGGTCCCCTCCTTCCCTCTCCTTATTTATGCTTGGCTTCTCCTGTTTTATTACTGTTACCCCCACCCTAACACCTTATGTCTATGCAGTATTGTCTGGTCAGGCCTTGCAGCTTTGACAGCTTGTAAAACTGTGTAATTCCATCATTCTATTGGAGATCCCATGAAGCATGCAGTATCTGGAAACATACACTAGCTGTAAGTCATTCCCTTTTTGTCCTTTTCATTGTCTATTTCTTTATGAAAATTAGTAAAATAATTAATCATAAAAAATTGTAACAGAAAAACTTCAAAGTGGATTTTATGATGGGGCTAAAAGTGTGCCATATATGTCCATGCAGGGTGCAAATGATCGTCCCAAAGAGCACCAATGGACCATTGCAGCAGTATCCACTGCAACCAGAGGAGACGGCTCAATGAAGCTAAGCATCAGATTTGAAATAGCTACACTCCCTTGAAGTATGGGTGTGAATTCCAGCAGGGTTGAGTCAACCCTTTGTTCTTCTGAGATAAATTGAGCTCCATGCTGGAGTAAGCCTTTTGAATAAGGATTTAAAATCTCATGGGCCTGTTTTCAATAGGCATTAGTGAGCCTATTAAAAATCGCCCAACTGGCCACTGCCCAACATCTCCCACTGTTCTCAAACAGGGATTGTTTTATCATCTCCTACTATAAAACTATTATATCAGCACATATGCTGACATGAGTCTGATTTGGTTTATTGTTGGAAATTTCCAACATGATCACTCTAATCAAAATAATTTTCCCTTGTAGGTGAGCCAGGCCCCAAAGGGGATACTGGAGAGGGAGGAGCTCCTGGCACTGAAGGCCCAAGAGGATTTCCAGGAATCCCAGGGATGAAAGGGGAGAAGGGAGAAGGTGCTTATGTTTACCGATCTGCCTTCAGCGTTGGGCTCACAAACAGAGCCCCCGTCCCCAACATTCCCATCAGATTCACAAAAATCTTCTACAATGAACAAAATCACTACGATGAAACCACAGGGAAGTTCCGCTGCAGCATCCCAGGCCTGTACTATTTCACATACCACCTCACTGTGTATATAACAGATGTGAAAGTCAGTCTGTACAAGAAGGACAAGGCAGTGCTATTCACCTATGATCAGTTCCAGAGAAACAATGTCGACCAAGCTTCCGGGTCTATTTTGCTTCACCTGAGTGCCGGAGAAGAAGTTTGGCTTCAAGTGTATGGAGAAGAAGAAAAAGAAAACAATGGTATCTATGCTGATAATATCAATGATTCTACTTTCACGGGTTTCCTCCTTTATCCAGATTTGGATCTTCGTTAAAGTGTGAGTCCAGTACATGAGGGAGGAAAGGAAGGATTAGCCAAGGAATTGATTTGGGAACACTCTAGGTTTTCCTAAGCACTATTTCCACACTGTGGTTACTAGCAAACACAGTGTTTTGTAGGGCTTTAGACTAGGTATTATAATCACCATGGATGATATCCTGGCCCCATTGAAATCAATAGGCGTTTTTCCATTGACTTCAGTGGGGCCATAATTTCACCCCACATTGCCACTTCTGCCCTCTTTCCAAACTCTGAGCCCAAATATCAATATATTCACTAAAGAAATAGACAAAGCTAACATAGTGCATAGTCCACTGGTGTCCTGTTCCATGACAGAGGCTCCTAAGTGCTATGATAATTCAAATAATAAATATAATCATAAATAATACAGCTCCTTGAAATATTTTTGAAATTCACAATTTAGACAAATTTTGAATGCCAATGACAACATTCACAATTTAGAGCTGGCTGAAATTTTTCAAAATGTTGGTGAGCTTTTCAGTCAAAATTTCTAATTTTTACCAAAATAAGGAAGAAAGTATTTCATTAAAATTATATGAAACTTGTTCCTGTTTTCCACCCAGCTCCAATAAACACATCCCATTGCCATTGTAATCCTGCAATTTACTCAGGCCTTCTAACTCCTCCCATTGTTTAGTGTTTTTCCTAGTAACGTTATGTCTAATTTAGATTGCAAGCTCTGTGGGCTGGCGTTGTGTCTTTTTATTTATCTGGAAAGCATTACATACACCTATCGGGCTACATAAATGACCATAAAAACAACTCATGGCTACTACCATCTTGAATATTAGATTGTTCCAGAAGCTTCACTTCTTTAGAGACCATATTTCTGTGACTGTTCTAAAATCATGGCATCCCCCTGCAAACAACATACCAGATATTTGGAGAATGGGAGGCACCAACAGGCAGCTGGGCAGATATTTAAATATAAACACATTTCTAATTAGAACATTGGATCTGCACTGTATTTAAAGATGTAGCAGTTCAGCACTTGTGCTGTAATGTGTGTTTTGTTTGACAGTATCTTATAGCTTTAATTTCAGCTGGAGATCAGGAATGAATTGTTAATTCACCTAGAATCTTCTGTGCCTTCTTCTCTATGAAAAAGCCAGTTGTGCCTTCAGATTAGCAATCACCTTTCCATTCTATAAACAGACATCCATTAATGATTAGAACACCTCTGGGGGAGATCCTCATCTGGTGTAAATGAGCCTGGCTCCATTGACATCAATAGAGCAACACTGATTCACGCCAGCAGAGGAGCTAGCCCACTTATCTGCAAGACTAGTTCTATGTTGCTATGATCATTAGGATTGGTGATCTTAGTAACATTCCTAACATGAGCTGATCTCTCTCATAGTTTCTTGTTTGATCAAAGAAAATCAGCTTCTCTGATAGATTTAGAGATGAAGAATCCAGTTTTGCTTTGATAGGTTGGTTGTTTTGGTTGGTTCCTAAACTGACACATTACTCTAAATGTAGAATAGTATCACTGCTCCCACTAAAAATTGTTTTCATAGCAGTATTTTCTACACTCCAATGAATTAATATATTATAAATAAAAATATTTGGCTCTCTCACTAAGATCTCTCTGTGGCTTTGTTGTTGTTGTTGTCATCGTGTTGTTGTTATTTTGGGAGAGGTTGACAAAGGACATTTTTTTCCTAACACAGATGGGCAGCCAAAAAGCCAGGTGCTGAGCCATTTAAAAAAATCTAGGAGGAAAACTGAAAGATTCTTAAGCTGTTTAAAAATAACATAAGAAGGTACTCAGTCCTTTTTTGATGCACACTTGTTCTCCCCAGGAATTGAAATGGCGGGTGGGGAGTTTCGAATTTACAGGAAGGGATGAGGGCCAAGGGATGAGACCGTGAGGGCAAAGGTGGGCTTTATGGCACAATAGAAAAATAGAAAACCATTTTATTAGATTTAACTCATATTTTAAAATCATCACACAAATTAAAGTTGGCTACTCAAGCCTTCTATGAAATACTACACCTATATCCTTCTTGTTTTGTTGTTGTTGTAATTTTGCACAACTCTGTTAATGCAATGCAGTACTTCCAAATGCAATGCAATACTTCCAGTCCTTCAGTTGACATGCTCATTAGTTCATTCACATGATCAGGCAGAAGGTGACTTCCTTCAGAACACAAAAATATATTCAATGATGAAAAAGAATGCTCAACTGTAGCTGTTGTGACTGGGAGTAGCAAGAGAAGAATTCCTACTTCTTGCATTACAGGAAACATAGCACAAAGATCAGGTCAAGCCACTAGTAATGACAAAAAAGAAGTTGAAGTCAAATTTTAATTCATTCGTTTTATGACATTCCACTCTGTGCTCAAATTCTCTATTCTGCCCTAATAACATGGCAGCCCCATTGCTGGTAGTACCTCCCTCCACTCAACTGTTGACGCTTTATAAGACAGGCATTTGAAAAAGATACATCCAGAAGTCGCTGTTGTAGATTTGTGAGTGTTGGTTTAACAAACACTTCTTGTCCTCTTCACTTAAGGAATCAATATAAGTTCCTTCATTAGTCAACTTCTGGACTGAAGTCCTTGCTTCTTCCAGTATGTTTTCAATGGATATCTCTCTGATTGATCCAAGTATAGCTTCTATTGCTGGACAAAGATCTACTACTATTGTAGCAGATGCCTGGATGGCATTGTTTAATGACCTGAGTGGTTTCAACACAAGACTTATAAGAGACAGAATGGCGATTGTCTTCTCTGAACATAGAAGCAAAAGTAGTCAACCAGCCTCACTACTTAGATCCGTCCAATCTTGGTAGATACTTTTCAAAGCCAGTAATAATGGTTGCAGTAATTTTAAGACATCAGCCAAGGATCGCTCATGAGAAAGCCAGCGGGTATTCCCATGCTGGACTAATTTGAACTTCAGTCCCAGAGCATCTTCTATTTTTTCCAAGATGTTCAGTCTTTTCGGACTCTTGTTGAAAAAATGAGTATAATGAAGCCATTAAATTTATGGCTTTTTTAATGTCTTTTGAAGATTCTGCAGCTCGTACTAGTGCTAGTTGAGTAGATCATAGAATCATAGGACTGGAAGGGACCTTGAGAGGTCGTCCAGTCCAGTCCTCTGCACTCAAGTCAGGACTAAATATTATTTAGACCATCCCTGACAGGTGATTTTTTTAACCTGCTCTTAAAAACCTTTAATGATGAAGATTCCACAATCTCCCTAGGTAATTTATTCCAGTGCTTAACTACCTCACAGTTAGGAACTTTTCCCTAATGTCCAACCTAAACCACCCCTGTTTCAATTTAAGCCCATTGCCTCTTGTCCTATCATCAGAGGTTAATGAGAACAATTTTTCTCCCTCCTCCTTGTAGCAACCTTTTATGTACTTGAAAACTGTTATGTCCCCCCTCAGTTTTATCTTCTCCAGACTAAACAAACCCAATATTTTCAATCTTTCCTCATAGGTCATGTTTTCTAGACCTTTAATCATTTTTGTTGTTCTCCTTTGGACTTTCTCCAATTTGTCCACATCTTTCCTGGATTGTGGCACCCAGAACAGGACACAATACTCCAGTTGAGGCCGTATCAGCGCGGACTAGAGTGGAAGAATTACTTCTCATGTCTTGCTTACACCACTTCTGCTAATACCTCCCAGAATGATATTTGCTTTTTTTTTTTTGCAATAGTGTGACACCGTTGACTCATATTTAGTTTGTGATCCACTCTGACCCCCAGATCCCTTTCTGCAGTACCATTTCTTAGGTAGTCATGTCCCATTTTGTATATGTGCAATTGATTGTTCCTTCCTAAATGGAATACTTTGCATTTGTCCTTATTGAATTTCATCCTATTTACTTGAGAATATTTCTCCAGTTTGTCCAGCTCATTTTGAATTTTAATCCTATCCTCTAAAGCACTGCAACCCCTCTCAGCTTAGTATCATCTGCAAACTTTATAAGTGTATTCTCTGTGCCATTATCTATATCGCTGATGAAGATACTGAACAGAACTGGACCCAGGACCAATCCCTACAGGAGTCTAGTTGATATGCCCTTCTAGTTTGACTGTGAACTACTCTCTGGGATAACTACTCTCTGGGAACGGTTTTCCAACCAGTTATGCACTCACTTTATAGTAGCTCTATCTAAATTGTATTTCCCTAGTTTGTTTATGAGGTTATGCAAGACAGTATCAAAAGCCTTATTAAAGTCAAG